CTGAGCTTGCACAGGCCATTTTGTGATGAAGTGTGAATTACTGTGGCCAACGTGGCTCACTCGAACAATTTCGCAGCTTTAGAGGAGTTTACAGTTCTGACACCTGCTAGTTAACATAATTTAACAAAAGGAAATACCGAAAGTACGAATGCTTCCCTCCAAACCGAACAGCGTCTGACAAACTTATCTACGGGGGGTACTTCGCTCAGAGAGAAGGTAATATTTTCGGGCTAACGACCTTGGAACATTCACAATTCTGCAAAATTTCCTTTTATCCTGTTTCTAAAACATGGTCTGGAAACTCGTATTTGCTCTGATGGTCTGCACTCATTTTCATCCAGATCCATGTTTTTTTGGACTTTATGCAGCGTTGGCGATTTCTGGACAATTTTGCTTTTCAGAGACACTATGAACTAGTATATATGCCTGGTATTCCTAACGGACGTAGATACTGGCTTTTTCTCTTTCAATTCAATTTTGAAGGATGTTCTGCATTCTGTTTATATCCCCCATTCTCTATTTTTTTGTCCTTTCATCTGGTGAGGCTTTATGGCTTCAGACCCTTCTCGGTCTGTCCTCCTAGACCATTGATTATCGCTAAAGAATTTTGCATTTATTCTTTTGCATGCTTATTTTTACGTTGGTCATTCGAACAGATTCTCGTCCTTCCGCTTTTCTGTACGTGAACACTCAGAGTTACAAATTCGGAGCAGAGACAAATTTTTCAGAGAATTTACCAGCGGCAACATGGGTGAGGGGGAAGACGAAGCGCCGAATTCCGCGCGGCCGGAGAGCGAGGTAGGTGAACGAAATAGAAGCCTCTTGTTAATGCTGTTCCTGAGACCTCGAATACCAGTAGGTCCACTAGTAAGGGTGTGGGCTCGAGCGAAATTTGAATCTGTCCTCTAATCCCGAATTGCTTATTTCTGGGATATTTGCCCAATTCACGTACCGTGGGCATAAATGGTAGCCCCACTCTTGACCACTGCTTCTTTACTGTTTCACATAGTCCGATGGGGCAGTGTCAGGAGATGTGGTTAGTGCTGTGAAATTAGTGGCGTTTCCCAGCACGGTATGTTGGCTGCCGGTCACTATTGGTGAAAAAAGCAGCCGCGGGTGAGCTCATTCTGGTCTCCTGATACACCCCCTCAGATTGCAAGGATACCAACCATAGATTACATCAGATGTTATTTTGCCAACCTTGATAACCGTTATCAGGACCCTTACGGCGTACCGTAACAAAGTGCATTCAGATGAACAACATCCTCATCCTTCCGCCAGCCCACGACACTTTGCAAGAAACTGCCAAGGATCAATTGAACCATTTTTGTCAACGAGTTACTAGTAAAATGGATGAATACAATGAGGTAATACCTAACTGTACACCACCTACTCAAGAAGTAATCTGGCGGTTTTCAGTTCCTGAAGCACAACTCGGTTGTGGTGTTCGCAGTGAACTATATACAAAATCGTTTCATCGCCGCTGAATTGTGCACGGAAGTAGGCAAACTATTTGAGATCCTCAACGTTAAAACAGAACCCGAGTTCAAGAAAGCGATCGAAGCGCTTCGGACAGAAACAGACACAGGTAATTGTGCGTCTAGTTGGGTTGATTTATATGTAGTAGTCTAGACGCGAGATAATGAAAAAGTCACTGCATAGCAATTCGAAAACAATCTTCCGTGTAATGAAGTGATGTCATGCTCTCACATTGCACATTCAACCTAAAAGATTAATCTTACAAGATTAAGAGCTGTGTACACAACAGATAGGCAGAACAACCTAGGTTTACTACATCTGTTGGGAGAGGGGCATTTTGCTAGCGCACTAGTTATTACGAGTTTAACGTTAATGAGACAATTGAACTCAAGTGAATTTGCAGTTACTCTGAGCTGCTTTGGTGAGACATGTGAACTCTTGTAAACTCACAAAAGTCACTAAATGCTACGAATTCATTACTCTTGGCTGAATAGATTCACGCGAGTTTACAGGTCTTAATAGGGTGCCCTGTAAACAGCTTTAGTAGTTGACGGAATTCACTCAGGTCGACGGTTGATGGGAATAAGTATGATGGCCAACCCCCCCTCTCCCCTCCACTCCTCTGAGCTAATAGCGCTATCAGGGCACATCGTTGTTGGGGAATCCCCAGTAGGGGGGGGGTCGTATTTGGGCTGGGAAAAATTTATTTTGATAGTTGATTTTTCTCGCTTCATGGACGTTGTAAAGGGGGGGGTCGTACTTGGTCATTTTTGGGAGGGGGTCGTATTTACGTTTTGCCTTTGTAAGGAGTCGTGGTTGACTTTTGGTGATTTTCCTCTTTCATGCGTAGTATATGCCTCCCGCTCGACAGCAAAATTTTTGGTAAAAAGTGAGGAACTTTTCGGGAAACAGGAACTTGGGGAAAATCTGAAAAGAGGAGGAACAGGGCCGGGAGGGGGTCGTACGAACCCCCCCCCCCCCCCTCAAAAAAAAGGGGGGGGTCGTAAGGACTCGACTTAAATCCCCAACCAATGATGTGCCCAGGCGCCCATTAGGATGAAAGGATGGATGAGAGATTCTTCGCGCTTTACCAATCCCCTCGGAGGATGCGGCACGAATTCTACCTCCATTCAGAATCTCAGTGGCTTATTGAATGCGATGTGGCCTATACAATGAATTGCGCGGCTAGATGATGTACAAGACGTTCTTTTCTTTCCGAACAAGTCAGGTAATCAATGGTACTAAATCACTGTTCCTGGGGGGTAGAGGACCCAGTTGGCTTGGGCGAGAGCCGATTCGAGATTTGTTCACCAGGGCCGCTCATCCGCCCATTTAGGGTAAAGAGCAAAGGTGAGATAATAACGGCATGACGAAGGGAGCTGACACCACGACCATGCGGAGCGCTCGCAGGTTACCCTCCCCCGATTGCCTCTCCCTCCTCCGGTTACCCTCTGTATTCTCTGAATGTGTGGTTAGCAGGGTCGTACTATTAGTGTTTTGCTACTGCTTGTGAGTGTATCAAACCAGACAAAAGCCTAGTCCCTTCAGGAGGACAATCTAAATAGGAAATCTGGCGTCACTGAGTTCAAAGCTGGGAGGGGAGGGGGCACGACAAAGTCCGTTCTTCAACTGGGACCTGGTCGCTTGCTGACTACGCTACGATCATCTGCTCCCTTCTAAAGGAGCTCGGAGAGGGAGAGGGTTCCCTCACCATTACTGGCGCCGCTTGGTGTTCCGCTAACAGTCGCTGAAAAGCCTGCTAAATAATGAAGCAGCGCCTTCAATTTTCAACTCTGAACCCATTTTTCGGAGATGTCACAATTCACACAATGAGAGGGCAGGTTGTTTCAGGTGGGTTCTGTTAGGCTATACATATAGATATGTAATCGATAAAAATTGAAATTTTCATGTAATGAATAAAAATTTCGAGTGAAGTGGCTGCCTCATTTGAAAGTTTCATTCCAGCCGCGACTGTTGAAGAATTCGAAACGGTCACGAGGAACTGGGACAGCTTTATAGAGGGCATTGAGAAAGATTTGGACGAGAAAGTTGGCCCAAGCACCACAACTGCCAATGATGGTGGGGATTGATGTTCCCCACTTTGATTTTCGAGTTTTTGGGTTCGTATAAGTTCAATATTGCTGGAAAATCTACAGGTACAATTTTTAGATACCCTTCCGGAGTTATGTGTGGGAAGTAAGGCGATTTCTCACTATGTGAAAGGAAGTTCTTTCCAAATGGTGCTCGTAGTTGTAGTGAGGTGAGTTGCAGCTTCTGTTTTTACTACAATTTTAGAAACAATTCGGCTTGATGGGGGTACCTTGCTAATTCCCATCGATAGATATTATCGTTCGTATCGGAGAGTAGGACGCAAAGTGGCTGCAAACCTCATACTGAGTTTTTTATTTTTAATGTATCTGCCTCGTTTCCCTCT